TACGGGCGTCATCTGGAAACTTCATGCTATTTTATACTATCATTCTAAAGCCGAAATAAATGTTAGGAATTGATGACAGCTTCCAGCTGCATGGAAAAAATAGCCCCCTGGTTTCAAATGATAGTGTTTCTTGTTATCGAAGATGAATCAAATCTTCTTAATAGAGTTTAGCAGGGGAAAAAACAAAACAAAACAAAAACCGTTGGCTGTATTTTGTATATAGTACATACTACGGTTACAATACACCTGGGATAAAATAGAATACACACTAGTGTATCCTCTTTACTATTTCTTGTCCACAATTAAGTAGCTCATTAGATAATTTCATTCTATATATGTGTACACACACACACACACATAATTTGCCTCTAGAGAAAAAGAGCCCTACCTAAACACACGTGTGCAGGTATCCTAATCTAGACACAACTAAATATTTTAAAAAAATAAAAATAAAACTACTAATGGAAGTGCTAATTGTAGTGAGCCTATATGTATATATAACTGTGTGTGTGGACAGAGACAGAGAACATATATAATGTGTGTATACATACACACACCCACAGTATAGAACTACTGTAATTTTAGTCACATATACAATTTTGTATGTATATGTGTGTACACAGACACATACACAAAATATAGATAAATCTAGCTATATAAAATAGTGCATCCAATGTCTGCGTGGAATCAGAACTGATCAATCTTCAGTCACGTTTTCTAAATAAGACTTTTCTCTGCCTATTTAAAAATCTTTGTAAATGTCAATATTTCTAAGTATACGTTTTGTATGCAACTACATCTGGAAAGTTTTCCGGGCATTTTAATACTTGTTTCATTTATTCATCAGTATTTCACAACAATATTTTCCTGCTTTTTAATACAAATGTTACAATGTCCTCTCTAAATACCTTGTTAAACTATTTGAGATTGGTTAATTAATACAGCAGGATCGATAACGTATTCTAAAGATTAAGTATACTGCAAACGCGTCCGTGTCACGCACACATAAACCCGTACATATGCAAAAGTGTTATATCTAGACGTGTGCTTATATGTGTATACACGCATATGATATAATTATATATACATATATGTTTCTCTGATTGTTTACTCACGAGTAGCCACCAGTGAAATACACGTCGAGCCACGTAGACCAGATGCACTTGCATTACTATCAGCAATCTGTTATACAGGGATTTTAATTTTTTCAATGCTGCCTCTTGAAAATTTTATATTTAACCTGTATTATAGTTATTTTACTAGTTTAATAGCAATTGGACTGATCAGACTGGCGGCCTATATTCCTTCTCATTATTTTTATAGGGACTGTTCTACACAACGAATATATACGTTCATTTTAAGAAGGGTTTTTTGAACTGTTAAGAAGTGTTCTTTTTAATGAACAGGTAATTTTTAGAGGCAAAAACTTACCAAGTTCTGACAATTTGCTAATCTGATCAGCAAATCAACAAATAAAAGAAGTCCAATTGCATATCCATCAGTAGTGTGACTACTAATTTGACTTACAGTTAAAGCAAAAAACGATAAGCAGACAAGGCCAATTCAAAGCTTGTATATTTTTTTCGGATACGTATTTATTTACCTCTTCTTAATGCTGGCCTCGGCTTTTTAAAAATGCAAATGATCATTCACAAGCGATTAAAGCGATTGGAAAGACGAATCTTTAAGAAAGATGGAAACTACTGATTATTGTTATGTAATTACATATGTGTGTGCATGTAACACACACATACATATCTGGTGTGTGTGTGTGTGTATATATGTACACATAGATATATCACAAAAACAGAATCGTGTGTGTACACACACACACACATTCACCTTTGACAAATATTGTTGGGTTGTGGGATATCTTCAAATGTTTCATATTGACGCGATAGAACTTTTCGATAACTTGTAGCATGCTAAATGCTCTAACAGGGTAAAGCAGCGGTGATCGTCTGAGCTACAGCATACTGGCTAAATCAAAATACACAACTATACACGAAATAAGTCATTTTCAGCAAAGTCTTCCGTTTCTGCTAAATAGAGTCTAACAATATATTTCGCTACTAACATTCATGTATTTCGAAGCCTAATAGCCCATGAAGAAAAGTTTGAAAAATACATCTCAAGAAGCAGACATTAAAGGTACGAACAAAATAATAGAGTACATTTAAGTTTGAAAAGCTATTGTATGCAACCTCTGTCCTTAACATTACTCTTTTCAATGATCGTGGCAAGCTGTTAATTTCTATTCTGAAGTTGTTTTCGTTGCTAGCTAACTCAAGTTAAACATCCGATACAATAATCACTATCTTTGCAACATATATCTCTGTACCATGTGATTTCAAAACGCTATTCCTTGTCTCGATAGCCAAGGAGAACGTTGCAATTATGAAGTAGATTTGAATTCAGTATTAACAATTTTATGTTTAGGAATATTCCCTAATTCAAACCATATATGGTATAGCGATCATTCATTATTTCATGTCACTGTGTTTAAAAAAGCATTACAAATATACAATAACAAAATTAAATCTCGATGTTTTGCGATCTCAGTAAGAAAGCGTAAAAGAATAATCATTAACCATGTGTTCAGATATATGTAAGTAATACGTCTGTATTAAGTGACCACTAGGGACTAAATATGCAAGCTCAAACAAACTTGCAATATTCATCTTTTAGACTAAATATCCCTACCTGAATTATGTTTCTTCTCCAATTTGTGAGGGTAGGGATTTGCATTTCCCCATATATTTCTAAACCCACCTGTATTATTTTAAAACTCATTCCCCATTACACGGATGGAAAAATTAAACTTCAAACATTCCCAGGATATAATATTTTAGACACATTAAACATTTTTCCCGTTATTTTGTCTTATTAAATACAGGTCTTCAAGTTGCTACAGTTTCTATTTAGGTCCAAGTGGTCTCGAACTTCTTTAAATCTCGCATACCCCTGCAAGGTGGCGCTCTTTTCATTTAAAGCTGATATTAGACTTATAATAAGAATAACATTTTGGACAAAGTAAAGTTAAACTATAACATTTCCCACAGTTCCTTTAGAGGAAATGAGTCTATGCAGAACTAGCCGAAGATTTCTTTCTTTCTTTTGACCGATTAAGGGTTATTTTTGTGATAAGTCACAAATAGCGATATAAAAATATTAAGGGGACATGAAAATACTTTAAAAATCTATCAGTAATATGCTATGGATAGTTTACGGATACAATAAAAGAAATGTGAATGCTTTAATATGAACACATACTTCCATCTCCCCTCCCCCCACTTCTAGCAGTTAATATGCCTATTGACTTACTATACACATAATATTTCTTTAAAGAAGCTGTTAAAGTGTCATCTTGGTCTACTGGAAGGTCAGTTTGTGCAATTCACTCTATGACTTATCACAAGCACTCGCAGCTTTAGCCAAGCTCATGATTTGTGTTGTCTGTTGATATGTTGTCTGCTTAATGGGGCGATCATGCAAGCTACAACAAGGAACAAAGCCCAACAGTTCCAACAACCGTAGCTAAGTTAGTGGAAGCAGTACAGCTTGCAAATCTATCAAACTAAACTGCAAGAAAGACAATCTGATTTAGAGAAAAGGCGTTCTGCTACAGTCATTAAGCACAAGTAATTTAGATTTTTTATATTGTCTTCTCATTTACAAATTTACTGTATCAACGCCAGCCAATGGAACGAATTTCTTAAGTAAATGAGAAATAAATAAAAGAGATAGAAAGATAATCAAATTACATAAAATAATTCTTACCCCCTAGATTTATTTTTTTAGAAAGCTATTAACACTGGCAAAATTATAGTAATAATAATAACAGAGCATAAGAAGTAATTGATTTAAATTAGCATCACGTTTTAAGAAATATCAGTAAAAATGTCTTTATGAACCTAGTGTTACATTTCTAGTAGGGGAAAGGCCCTTGGAAAGCCATGAATCTACACCATGAGAATTAGTTATGGTCACAAATGCTTGAAATTAAAATAGCAACTAAAATAATCCTCTTTTAAATCTCCTAATATGTGTTATACGAATTAATTTAATTTAGGGACATAGTACATCCAGATTCATTTGTAATGTTGTAGTATGGAAAGGAACTTCCTTGTACAATTCATCCACATTAATATGTATGTAGCATATGCAATCTATTTCTGTTATTTTTATGGTTGTTATTCTATGTCTGCAAAGGTCATTTAAATTATACTGCGGCCGAAAATTTGTTTCATAAATTTTGATATAAATACTAATTACACACTATACTAATGCCAGCAGGGATCCTTTCATTTATCACATTTATATCACCGTCGCTGCTTTACTGATGACATAATGGAAAGCAGTGAAAAAAACTGGTATAGTTTTATTCTAATATATTAAAGCTAGCTGAAGTTGCAGCAGATTGACTGAGTGAATAAGAATTCCTACCACAATTCATGGGATTTAAGAATCTTTAATAAGGTACGAAATGTTACCAAACAGTTCTGTAAACTAAATTTTACATACCAATTCTTCTAGCCATAAATATTGAATATCTGTAACATGTATAACCGGACCTTTACATGCGGATAAATATGGAAATTAGGATTTATATACATTATGTTACTGTATTTTGCCAAAAGCAACGGACAGATATAGTTTATATCTTTTTAATATCACTTTACATAAACAAATGTAACAGTTTGACACGTAGATCCAGGCTTTCACTATACGAATTTCTTGACAGGACATTGTAACAACATTTTACTGCACTACTTAGACTGGACTTTGGGACGAAATGTTTGCACTTTATACAAAAAAGCACATTAATACCAATAATATTCTGTTAGATCGACGTTTAGACTGTAATAATACAAAGTAATTCACATTTTGGTACACATTTACTAGAACATTCTTGCCATTCAGTACAAATAGTTGAATTTCTACCTCCTCCCTCTTCCCCCCCACCTCCCCCACCCTCCGTCTCACCCACCCTCGCCCCCCCTCACATATATGCAAAGACCACAGTTCCACATATCCCCTTATTCAACTTGCGATATGACTATTTACAAAATCAAACAGTACATTTTAAGCTAATAATTCTGTATTTACATTTTAAAAAAAAGCCGCTGCCCAAGGAGACATGCAGTTTGAGACCTCTAATCAGTGGTTCCAGTCCAGCCCTACACATTTGGCATTTGGCCTGGTAACCTTGTCCTCTCATGCATTCTACTAACCCCTTTGCCTACCAAGCCTTTGAACAAAACAAAACAGAAAATGATTCTTCATTTTATTCGGTCCTGGGTCTACTGGCAGCTTTTGATTTATTTATGTATTTATTTTGCTTTCGAAGTGTTCATTAATTTTGGAGTCTTTTAAATAGGGTTTTTGTTTGTTTGTTGTTTGTTTTTGTTTTAAACGTACCATTCGTTAAAATTTGATGTAAGCGTGCTGTGGCTGGACGTGTGATGGACTGCTGAAGAGGAGGGGGATAAGGAGCTTGTGGTCTGGTTTTCTGTAGATGGAGACACGATTGTTGGGGGCGTTGAGGATTCATAGCCTGAGCTGGCGGCGGGAGAAGGCTGGGACCCCTGGGAGGATGACTCATGGACCTGCAAAATAAATACGTACATAAATAGATAACAAAGGGGATTTTTAAGTGTAGTTATTAGTTCGATAATAATATCAAACTCTAGAACCCATTCGCCCCTCTGACCCTCCTCCCTCCACACAGGGAACCCCTGAGCTGAATTCACAGGTTAGCCTTGAAATGCTACAGATCGTGTTTTTTAAGACAAAGTCTGAGGAGAAACATTGCATTGCTCATAACGCAGGTTGCTGGTATCACAGAAACACGCAGGACTCGAGCTCTATGCCTAAACAGTCCATGTTCAAATATCTTGCCAGGCACTAGCCTGTAAGGCAAATGCGGTCCTAGTACACAAAAGGAAGGGGATCTGCTAGATCTGGCTTTAAAAGAAACCATGAGTTTCCCCTGCTTGTGTCCCTTCCATCTGCCCATCACTGAGACCTTTACTGAAAGTCTGCACTAAAGCAATGCACCCAGAAAAGCCCTAACCGGGTTACTCCACTGTAAGACGCTTACAACGTAAATAACTGAGATCATGTACAGTCAGCAGTGAAGCGCTATCTGCCCTTGAGCAAAATAAACAGTGGTTGTTTAAACCTTTCTGTAGTAAAAACATTACTGGCCAGGTTGCCCTTGTCTTTTCCAATTTCCTGTCCACAGATCACTTTAAAATATGCTTCTTCGCAACAACACCGCCACATAGATAGTCAACACATTTCACGTTTTAAGTCTCCCATCCTGTTTAAGCAGAAGCGTTGTAAATCGGCAATAAAAAGTCAGAGATACAGGCGAGGTAAGATCACGTAAAATAATGCAACATCAATTTACCTTCATGTGTTTTCTGAGGGAACTTGGGTGAGTGTAGGACTTATCGCACATTTTGCAAAGATAGGGTTTGTCAGAAGTATGCACGTGCATATGCTTTTTGCGGTCGCTGCTATTTGCAAAGCGCCTGTCACAGCCCTCGAATTCACACTTAAATGGTTTTTCACCTATTACAGAAAAAATGATCTGATTAGAGACCCTGTATTTTCTATGATTAATCAGTATTAATTATTATTATTATTATTAAATTACCAGACCGAAGGATCGCGGTAAACTGAATGACTTGTAACTTTCCAACTTTAAAAATGCTGCATCTCAGAACCCTGTTCTCTTTCATTTTTAAACAATCGTTCACTCGCTGTACAAGGCATATTTTTAAAGAGTTTTCATTTCAAACTATTTCAATTATTTCTCGAGAGCTTCACTTTCACTTCTCAGCTCCTGGCATATCTGGCTCGTTGTAATCCTGGCAGCAACACATCAGTCGTTACAGCACTTATACACAAGCCTTGGTGCCTCGTTTCTGCTTTTACGGCTCATTCCCGTGATATTTTACCTACCCACCTCATAACCAGCCCCTGTATTTTCGTACAATCTTGGATATTATTACGACGGGTGCTTGTGATTCTTATACATTGGCTACCAACATCGTCTTGAACAATTTACTAAAATCACGCTTCATATTATTTCAAAAAATGTACAACAGTAAAAGCAGGAAGAGGTGCATATATATTTATTTATATATGTATTGGGGTTAGAGGCGTTCTTACTGATCCCAGCTGGTTTCTAATACTACAATACTAGATTAACACCTTAGGTTCAGTTTACTTAATATTACTCCATGTAATTAAATATTTACAAATACATGAATTACAAAGAGGAGACGGATTGGCTGACTGTATGTTTAGCACAATTTCTCATTGTAATACAGTCAAATCTGCCGACTACCAATTAATTAAAACCTATAAATTTAACAAGTCAGGTTGCTGCTATTTTTCTTTCACTACTGTATTTCTGCAGCAAATGAGCTCTCTCTCTCTCTTTTTCATAAAGGTTAGGAGGAAATAATTTTGTTAATGAGCTGATTTTGAAATTAACCTCTCACGCTGCCTCTTTTAAAAAGTAATATCGTACATTTTACATACATTTTTTCAGAAAACAAGTCACCATGTCCAATGTTTTCCTCTTCCCTCCCCCATCCACACCACCATTTATTTTACTGGAAAAGCTTGACTCTTTTATTTGCAGAAAGAAATCTAGAGAGAAGGTTACTGTACTGTACCTGTGTGAGTTCTTTTGTGTATTTTGAGATTTTCTGATCTAGCAAACACTTTCCCACAGCCTGGGAAAGGGCAGGGGAAGGGTTTTTCACCTGTGTGGACTCTGATGTGATTTACAAGTTTATATTTGGCCTTGAAAGGTTTCCCCTCTCTTGGACACTCTTCCCAGAAACATATGTGATTGGACTGCTCGGGTCCTCCAACGTGCTCCACTGTGACATGAGTCACCAGCTCATGCATTGTGCTGAAAGTTTTGTTGCAGGACTTTTTGGGGTTTGACAATTGCTCGGGCTCAATCCACTTACAGATGAGTTCCTGCTTGATGGGCTGCCTCATGTAGCGAAAGAAGGCCCCTGCCCCATGGTGGGCTGCCATGTTCATGTTCATGTGGCCGTAGCCGTGGAGCTGAGTGGATGCATAGTGCTCGGACCGGGGGCTAGTGACCTGGCCGTACTGATCTGGCCTCCCGTACATGTCTCCGGAGAAGCCCAGGCGCATCTGCCCGTTCACCACGTTGGGAGAAGCGTGGCTCGCGGCTTGCTCGTGAAGCCCCGGGAAAAGTATGTGTCCTGCGGCATCAGTGTGTCCGTGGGGTCCGGCGAAGCTGCCCGCGGCCGAAGCGAAGAGGCTGTGCTGGGCGCTGGCCGCCGCCGCCTCGCCAAAGCCCCGGTTGCGGAAGAGAAAGTCCCGGGTGGAGTTGAAGGCTGCGCTGGAGTAAGAGCTGACATGGGTCGGGTGGTGGTGATGCCCCAGCGCCGCCGCCGCGTAGCCGGGTGCCTGCGAGGTGAAGGCGGTCTGGCCGGCCGAGGCCAGCTCGTGTGTGCTGGGGTTAATTTTAAAGGCGCCCATGCCGTCGGCGAAGGGGTTGATCCCCAGCCCCACTTCTCTGTCCGTTACATCGCCCGTGGAGTGGTGGCGAGACGATCCGAAGGTAGTGACTCCTATAGCGGGATACTGCGGTCCAGCATCCAGAAGCATCTTCCCACTCTCAGTGCAGCAACCCGGGGAAAGGAAAGGAAAAAAAAAGAAAAAAAGGGGGAAAAAAACAAAACAAAAACACGGAGGAGCAGCAGCAGCAAAACACCCTCTCTGGAAAGTCAGCGACAATCACCACCAACGCAACCACATCAAAACCACCCCCGTCGGCATCAGCGCCCCGAAAGGAAACAAAAAGTGGGGCGATCTTGCAGTTGCAAATAAGCAAGAAAGCTAGAATAAGACAGACATGCACAAAAAAACCCCACTGTCTCTCTGATGAGACTTTTCGGGGAGGTTTGAAGTGGGGAGGGAGGCCAGGGGGTAAAAAATAAACTGGCTGCAAGTAACAGTAATGGAGAGAGACCAACACACACGGCAAAAAAAAACAAACAAAAAACAAACAAAAAAACAAAACAAAACAAAAAATCAACTCCCTTCAGTTATTTTTTAGCTATAGGAATGTTGCAAAGTGGCCGAGAGATTTTTCTCTTCTCTTCGAGCTCCCCACACTCTCTCCTTCTCCCTCTTTCTTTCTCTCTCTCTCCTTTTTTTTCGCCCCCTTTTTTTTTCCCGCTTTGCAAAAAAAAAAGGCGCAAATCATGCACAATATTGTCTTTTGCGGTTTATCTTCCTGGGGAGAAACTTTCACCTCCTCAGCCGGGCGGTGAACGCGAGACTGATAGCGGCAATCATTCCTGCAGATAAATGAATTGAAAAGACGACACCGTCCCCCCCCTTGATGAATGGGAGAAGGGGAGGAGCGACGTCAAGGCGGACGTGGGAGATCATTGGTGCCTGGCGACTCCCCCCTTCCCTTGCAACTCCCCCCTTCTTCTCCAACTAAGGGCGCGCAAAGCCTCTGCTCTTCCCTGATTGGTTCGCCGGGCTCATCAATCCCAGGTATTGTGAAGCGCTTTGACATCCCTTTTGACAAACAGGGTTTCCAGGAGTAGCAACTTTTTGTGTGTTTTTGTTTTGTTTTGTTTTTTATCAAGTCCAATATTTTTTGCACACAAATATTTCAAACGTGATCTTTGTGTATGGGTGCTAAAATAACCCTAGCCTTGATTATTGTCCTTCTTCTTGCTGCTGTTTTTTTCCCTTGCTCTCCTCCATAATAACGCTAATGATGATCACAATGATTTCCTGATTTTTTTTCAACAGCACTGAACAACTTTTTAGGGTTTGAAAAGGGAAGCGCTTTTGTGACTTGTTTCTTTTGAAGTTGTGTTTTCTCCTTGTTTGTAACTGAAGCTCTCCAGAGTTTGTGCCGATTGCATTCGATTTTGTTTTTAAACAACAGGCGTGATTTCTCTGGGTAAAAGCCCATCAGTTTTCTGAAACAACTCTTGTTTTCTGCACCCATCAGAACGCAGGTGGGTGAGAACGCTTAACTTTCTACTTTTTATTGTTGTCCCCCCCCCTTATTTGTTATTCTTTCCTCCCCCCCCCCCCCCCGCGGGATCTCTTTCATTCAGGTAAAACTGTAAATTTCCCAAAGCTACATTGTTTCTTCTGTGCTGCATGAAGCTCTCGGAGACTTTTTTTTTTAATTTATTTAAAATCCTCGATAGATAGGAGCAATGTAAATTTTCTGACATTCAAACCTTTTCTAGTTCACAAATCAGTCACCCTTGTCATAGTTATTGAAATTCCTCAACTTGCCACACCAGGACGGTGGAAAAAGCAGGCGGTGTCTTTGTTGCTGACCAGGCTTTTGATCGCCAGAGAAAATTTACTTACCTTCAGATGAGTGAGCAGAAAAAGAAATAACACTCCCTTTGATTTAGTTAGGAAAATGCAGACATTTGGATTCAGTGCAAACATACAACACTTGGTTGTTTTCTAGATGCAACCCTCGATTAACCTGTCTTTCCCCAGCGCAAAGTCTATTGAAAAACTGCGAATAGTTCCTTTTTGTTCTTGCTACAAAGAGTCATTGACTATATATTAAAATGATTGTTGAAACGTATAAGTATGGTACTTAAAAGGAGAAAATCTTTGTGACTCAATCAATTAAGCTAAGCAACATTTGTACATTATTTTAAACGGTGCTCGGGCATAGAATATCAGATTTCATTTTACGGAGAAGATATATATATTATATATATTTAACGTATATATATTTTAAAATGGCAGATTATTTATTTACTCAGTCGCCTGCATATTCATTAGATCTAATTATTTCTAGTAACGAAAACACAAAAAGCTAGCTGAGAGTCGGAATCCTTCAATTTACCCTTTGTTCAGTACTTCATTTGGCTTATTCGGAGCTAGATCTGAGCCCCTCAAACTCTTATTCCTGAACAAAGAAACTTCTGACTCTTCAGCTGAAATATAAAGGCGTTAGGAAGCAATCACCACCGCAGGTACTGGTGAAACGGATAAAAATAGATATCACATGCATATTTCTCATATTTCTCAGCGCTGCACATTTAAAGCAATAAAAACTGAGAAGTGTTTTTTTAAAAAGCAACTTTGAAACGCAGTGCTAAATACTTCGCTCTACATTAGAAATATATGTAGTTTGCGGAGATTCAGTCAATGAAGATGATTTTCAGTGCACTTTTACCCGGTAATTACTTTTGGATCTAGTACGTCTGAATAATTCCTTTTATTAGCTGGAGCTGTGTTTTTGCCCTTATTTTGTGAAATAAATGTGAAGAAATTACATTTACGATGACTTATAGCAACAGGTCTAAACCAACTGTGTGTGTGTGTGTGTGTGTGTTCTGATATCTTTAGATGTATGTGATATTACCATGTATGTCTTCTGCTAAAAACACCTGCATACACTACAAGGTTCTCTGCTGGGTTTAGTCCATAATGTGAAATCTACAAGGCTGTGACACTCGGAGAGCAATCAACTAGATTGTCCATTCTTTAGACTACCTCCAAATTGCAAAGAAAACCAAATAATCTCAAGTTCGTATAAAATATAACAGGAAGGCTGACAAGGGGATATTTTTAGGAACCTTGTCTAAATATACAGAGTGAGAGTGAATGTTTAAAAAAAAAGTTGTGGGTTGTAGAAGTTATCAAGTGGGATTTGCGGCGTGCTCTCTGCAGGAAACGAAAGCTGCTCCAGTTCAAAGCCACATGCACCAACGTGACATATAAGCCATTAAAATATCCTCCTGACGGCTCATTTCTGTTTCATCATACATTCCCTAACTGCTTCCAGAAAGCAAGAAAAGAAGAAATGAAGGATGACCGCCTCGCTGGAACCGCCAAAGAGGTGCTGTTTTGTTGTCTCTCTTTTCCACCCCCACCCCTTTTTGTCAGCCCAGAAATGATGTGCAGAAATGAGGGAATCTCTTCAACAGGTGGAGTGGGGTAAGTGAATTCGGGGGGAGGCACGGGCGGGCAAGGAAAGTTCTTGGCACCCACTCACCCACAAGGGAACGGGCTAGACACCCACTCACCAACAGGGGCTTGGCAACCTCTCGCTCGCATGGGATGTGGTTTGGCACCCACTCAGAAAAGGGACTGGCGCCCATTCACCCACTGAGGAAGTGGCTTGGCATCTACTCACCCACGTGGGAAAAGGCTTGGCATACCTCGGGAAGGGGAAATAGCCTGGTACCGACTGGGACTGGGAAGGGGGCTTGATACTGGGCTAAGGGCAAGAGGCTTCTTCCCCCACACAGGGCTGGATAGGGGACTTCTCTGCACAGTACAAAGGGGCTTCTTCTCCCCATAAGCTGGGATCCAGACGCACCGGGAAAGGGGCTTTTTCGCACCCACTGGGAGAGGAGGAAGGGGACTTCTCTGCTTCAGCTCGGACAGAAGAAAGTGATTCTCCGACCCCACAGAAACCCAGCTTCCGAGGAGGCAGAGAGGGGAAGGATTCTACGCACCCAACGGGACAGGAGAAAGTAGCTTCCCCCGCCTGTCCTCCCCTCCCCCCCGACGAGGATGGCGAAGGGATTTCTCCCCCCTCACTTGGACAGGAGGGAAAGGAGATTCTCTGCACCCACTGCTGAGGCGCAGGAGACCGAGCCGGGCAAGCCTAGGGGAGAGGGATAGATAGATCAGCCCCAGGGGGAAGGCTGCTTGCTAAGGACAGTGGCCGCCGGGCAGCCACAAACAGCAGAACACTCGCTGCTTGGAAGGGCTGGGACTACACATTTCCAGGCGGATGCACTCGGGGGCTGCCGGATTGTAAGCCCTGGATGGAGTGCAGAGGGGGGATTTGCTCCTTTCCCACAGAGCAGAGGGAGGTACGGCAAGAGGAAGTCAGATTCTCCTCCTGGGTTTGACCGTTGAACATTCATTGCTATGGTGCTGCTTTTCTGTCGCAGTTTCTTTCCTTTCTGAGCAGTGAAAGGGTTAACTGTCTCCTGGAAAAGGTCTAGTGGACAAGTTACTAGACTTCCGAGCTTTGACAATAGAAACCCCTAATTGAGAGCCTTCCTTGGGGAGGGCTCCCATCCCGGGTCCTCGCTGATTGACCCGTTTGTTTTGCTTGCACTGACAAAGTGCAACCTTCTAGTAACATTTCTCTTCCAAATCAACTCAAATCAAAAGAAACGCCTGCAGATTCCCCGTCTTACCCACCCGCGCGCAAAGCGAGTGGTTTGGTAACTGATTGATGAGAAACGTTAGGGGTTTCGTGAATTAAAGGAAACTGGCAAGTTTGCGGAGAGGTGGTTCCTGCAAACTCCCTCGCATTCAGCTGTAAAATAAGTCCCCCTTGAGGTCTGACAATGCCTCCAAACCGCGATAGACGTTAGGCGTTAATTTTCTTGCCTAGTGTTGGAAATGTAGTTAATCAGTTTGCTTAAGTGGTGAAGGCTAAAGCTCTTGAAGTCGCCGACTTTGGAAATACCCTAGAGTTTGACCTCTGACCTGCGACCAACAACATGTGCCAAACTCAGAGCATCCAGCACAATGCGTGGTTTCAGTGTCTAACCTGGGGCAGGACAAATAGACAAATGTTTGCTGTTTCTTCTCTTTCCTCTCATTTTAATGATTAATCATATCTGATCGCCCTTCCCCCGCCTTTAATTCCATCTTTTGTTTTTAATTATCCGCCCTGACTGTTCTTTCCACCCCTTGTTTTCCAGAATAGCTTGAATACCCATGAAATATGTTCAGGGCCAAACCCCAGAGGAGAATCTCTCCTCCTTGGGCGATTCTATTTGAACAGTTTAGGCTTGTTGCTATCCAGAATCATTCATATTAACTTATTAAAAAAGAACAAGCTTCATTGACAACTTGAAGGCAAACATTAAATCTTCATCCCATTTCCTTAACAGGTGGGGTAAGTAAAGATTTCCATGGATGGTAAATGGGCATGGAAAGACATATTTTTGCATCTGATAGTATTTGCGGGGTGTGTATTAAGACTGTAATAATTCCAGAGCTGTGTGTGCTGTGGGCCGCTGAGCCTCCTACTAGTTTTGATAAAACTGCCGGTGTAGTAGCCCGCTGAATCAGAGCCATGTTTCAAACAATACTTGCTTACAGACTAATTAGTTTTAATATGGAAGTGTCCGGTCAGCACCTTTGATCCGTATCAGAAGTCAACGTTTTCTAGCGGTCAAATAAGACACCTACACTACACATTTCACTACAGATATAAGCACCAATTGCTATTCAGTAAATTAATAGCCTCAGAGAAGAACATAAATATTGTTAAAATTTTGTAAGCAGAAAAGGCATAGGGTGAGCATCTAATAGAATAGGCATGATTAACAG